GTTCCTGTGTATATACCCTCTCTTATCAGCTGGACGCTTCACTCTCCACACTGGTCCACTGTGACTGTGTCACTGACTCTGGGCCCAAGAGTCCCCAGGTCTTGCCATACTGCTGGCCAACCAGGTCTCCACTGGGGTTCACAGGAGTCTATTGAACATTGTAGGGCTTAGCTCGCAGCTTCGTAGCAATGGCTTTTTAACTCAGCGTTCCTTTTGAGATTTATCCACGTTGGCTGATGTAGATTATTTTATTGAGGTAGAATACTTTGTTTTGTAAATAAACTAGAATTAAAAAAAAAAAAAGTTTTGTGGTTTGAACCCACCCAGTTCCCAGTTGTGCCATGAAAAAGAAGGCCTGATCTCCTTCCATAAAGATTGTTGTTAAGTGCCACTGAGTCAGTTCTGGCTCATGGTCACCCCATGTGTGCAGAGTGGAACTGCTCCACAGGGTTTTCAAGGCTGTGACCTTTCAGAAACATATCACCAGGCCTGTCTTCCAAGGTGCCGCTGAGTGGGTTTGTACTGCCAACTTTTCATCTAGCAGCCGAACACTCAACCATTTGCTCCACCCACGTACTCCAATATGTAGAGATGACAGTCAACACCTCACGAAGAAATTGTACTCTTTAGCACATGGGGTTGTCATGAGTTGGAGTCAACTCAATGGTGATGAGCAAATAGCCTGAGATTCTAGGTTCTTGTAGAATTTATCTTGTAAAAGAGGGAGTTGATCTTGTAAAGCTCTCTGCCCAGCTCCTGACCTAGGTTTCTGATGGTCACCTGCTGAAGGAGATCTGATTTCCTAGCTCCAGGGAGCTAAAGGAGCTCTGGTAGCATAGTGGTTACGAATCAGGCTGCTAATCTCATGGTCAGCAATTCGAAAGTACCAGCTGTTCCACAGGACAAAGATGAGGCTTTCTGCTCCCATAAAGATTTACAGCCTTGGAACCCTGTACAAGGGTCTCTATGAGTTGGAACTGACTCCATGGCACATAACAACAACAACAGGGAGCTAGGAAAGCAGTCACTAGAAGGAGGTTGTTTTGAGATGGAGGAGAGGGAAGAGTCAGGGCCTGGAAAGGATTAAGTGTTGGGACAGGGCCGGGTTTGGCCTTTCGTTCTTGACACCCAGATCCCCTGTGCTGTCTAGATCATCAGCGAGGAGCGGTTCCGGCAGCTAGAGAAGATCAAGACAATCGGCAGCACCTACATGGCTGCCTCTGGGCTGAATGCCAGCACCTATGATCAGGTGGGCCGCTCCCACATCACTGCCCTTGCTGATTACGCCATGCGGCTCATGGAGCAGATGAAGCACATCAATGAGCACTCCTTCAACAACTTCCAGATGAAGATTGGTGAGAGAGCCTGCCTGCTTGTCAGGACTCTTTCTGGGTGGAGCTGAGGGATGGGGTCACAGATCCTCCATCTCTACCAGGTGCCTAGGAGTTTTCCCCCTCCCACCTCCTATACCAAGCCAAATCTAATGTTATTTATTGAGGGTCTACTATGATTAAGGGAATCCTGGTGTGGCTCTGTGGGTTAATGTGCCAGACTGCAGAGCCGTTTGAACTGCAAGGTCGGCGATTCAAGCTCACCAGCTGCTCCTTGGAAACCCTATACAGGGTAGCTATGGATTGGAATCAACTCAACCGGCACTTAACAACAACACTATGGTTATGAACTGGGCTGCTAACCTCAGGGTCAGCAGTTCGAAACTACCAGCTGTTCCACAGGAGAAAGATAAGGCTTTCTGCTCCCGTAAAGATTTATAGCCTCGGAAGCTCCGTACAGGGTCACTGTGAGTTGGAACTGACTCCACGGCACGTAATAACAACAACAACTGTGTGCTAACTACTGTCCTAGAGATTTTTGAGCATGTTTGAATCTTCACATTTTAATTACCCCCTTTTACAGATTTAAAAAATCCACAGGAGAAAAGACCTGGCAATCTGCTCCTGTGAAGATTATAGCCTAGAACACCCTATGGGGCAGTTTTGCTCTGTCCTGGAGGGTCACCATGAGTCTGCACACAGTAGCCACAGAGATTATCCAGGAGAGTCAGAGTAATTCACCCAAGGTCAAATAATTGGTCATGATCTGAGCCCAGACTCAAAACCAGGTTTATCTAAACTCCAGGTCCTTATCTATGTCCAGTGTGATAAGATGTACTTCCTGGCAGATAGTAAATAACAAGAGCATCGTGGCTCCAGATGATAAGCACTAGACTGTGAACCACAAGGTTGATGGTTTGAGCCCACCAGCCACTCCACGGGAGAAAGATGAGGTTTTCTGCTTGTGCAAAGATTACAGTCTTGGAAACTCAATACCGGATCTCTGTGAGTTGAAACCAACTCAATCGCACTTAACAACAACAATCGTAACCACTGGAGTAGTTAATAATAGCGTGGGTTCTGGAGTCAAGACAGTCTAGATTTATGGTTTGGCCAATCTACTAACTGGCTAATTTAGCAAGTCACCTAACTTCTCTAAGCTTCAGTTACATTATATCCAGCTACTCATCTGTGTGTTCCTGTTGTTAGGTGCCAGTGAATTGATTCTGGCTCAAAGTGACCCTGTGCACAAACAGTTAAAACACCTGACTAGTAGCTGAAAGGTTGGCCAGGTGTGCCATCCAGAGGTGCCTCAGGAGACAAGCTTGGCAGTCTGCTTCTGAAAGGAGACAGCCTTGGAAATTCTGTCGGTTCTGACTCATATCAACCCTGGAGAGGGTTTCCACGGAGCAGCTGGTGAGTTTGAAGCGCAGTTTTATTCTGCCTGCCTGGGACTGCCATGAGTCGTTAGCAACTCAGTGGCAACTGACAACAACATCCATCTGTAAAGTGGGGTAGGACTGTTGAGGAGGAAACAATGTGCAATGCTGTTCAGAGTGGAAGGCACCAGTAAATTAGTTACTGAATTATTGTTTATAGCTGTCTCACCTCAGGAGAGCTCCTCAGCTCTCCCCCGATCTCCAGTTCTTTCCAGTCGGAGTCTGACTCTTCTCTGTTTTCTCCTCTGGGTCCTTCTGAAGATGCCAGATAGTGTGACGACTCCCTGGGCTGACTGCGAAGCTTCTACCAGTCTCACCCTCGTCTTGTTCTTCCCACCTCAGGGCTGAACATGGGCCCAGTCGTGGCGGGTGTGATTGGGGCTCGGAAGCCACAGTATGACATCTGGGGGAATACGGTGAATGTCTCCAGTCGTATGGACAGCACAGGAGTCCCTGATCGAATCCAGGTGAGGGGGAAGATGAATGAGGCTGGCAGGGTTACAGGTTCAGAGGGTGTCCACAGAGCCTTGTCTGCAGTCAGCTGTGAAGGCAGGGGCAGGGTGGCAGTATTGTATGACTGGGGGGTTAGGGGTTGGCTGAGGGGCGCTCTCATTACTAGAGAAGGCCTGGACTCCTGCAAATACAGCAGGAAGGAATCCAGGCTGAGTGGGCTTCCCTCCCAACCCCCAGGTAACCACGGACCTGTACCAGGTTTTAGCTTCCAAGGGCTACCAGCTGGAGTGTCGAGGGGTGGTCAAAGTGAAGGGCAAGGGGGAGATGACCACCTACTTCCTCAACGGAGGCCCTAGCAGTTAGCAGGGCCCAGCTGCAAATTCAGCAGACGGGACCAAGGTGGGCATTGAGCAGGCTCTGTGCTTGCTGGTGGAGCCACGGCAGGGCCCCTGGATCTTCCAACCCTGCTGACCACAGAAGGGAAAACCCCAGCCAGCTGTGCTTGGACCATGCTCCTCTGCCCTCAGCCTGGTGAATGAGGGGATACCAAGAGGATTATGCAAGTGACTTTCTTTTTTAATGGAGAGAGGGCTGTTCCTGCTCCTTTCTTCCAGCTTTTGGGAGCCGAGGAGCTGGCAACAGTAAAGGCCTCCTCTCTGAGAGATTGATTAAAATGGCACCTTGCTATGCCTGCCCCTCCCCTGTCTGTCTGGGCAACAGGCTCTGGACTGGGCCCTTTCTTTCCCTCTTTTTTCTGGGAATATTTTGTACAAAGACTGGGGCAGGCATGAGGAGTGCCTATTCCATGCTTGCCTTTGCTATACCTGCATCCCCAGCACTGGTCCTGGGCACCCCCACCCCAGCCAGGTCTCCTTCTCCAGGCATAGGCAGAGGAGGAAGACACTCTGGGGACCCAACTCTGCCCAAATTTCAGAGGAATGTTTCCATTTGCCAAATTCTAGTCTCATGATTTGTCTCCAAAGGGGAACAGGGGGCTTCGGACAGCTCTGATTTAGCTCCAGTTCCTACGTGGCTTTAGGGAAAAGGGGCGTCTGGTCTCCATGGTACTGTGAAAATGTCCAGCCAGAGAGCCAGGGCATGTGTGGGGATGTCAGAAGATCAGGAGCTGGAAGTTCGTCTACAGGTGCCAAAGAGAACAGGCTGGCCAGGGAGAAAGGTGGTGGCCAGCTCTACTTGACCTGGTGTGGTCAAAGTCAGGGCACTCTGCCCCAGCTCTCTTGCTGTCTGCTGTCAAAGGGACATGGAGCGTCCCTACCCTTTCCATTGCCAAATAGAAAAGGGTCAGGGCATGAGGAAGATGGCCCTGATCCCAAACCTGTTCTCTCCAGTCTTACTCTGGGGAGGTCCTGTGTGTTTGTGTATCTGTGTGCGCATGTTGGTCTTTGTGTGCATTTCTGTTTTCCAGACCTGTGTGTGTCCTTGTGTTCCTGCTCTGCAGCCATCCACCGGGTAGCCTCTCTCCCATGGGCCTCTGTCTTCTGGGAATAAGGCAGGGCTTCCTATTTCAAGGGATGGAGAGAGATGCCCAGGTTGCACAGAAGTGGAAGGGTTGTGGTAGCAAAAGGAGGGTGGCCCTGGGGAGAGGAATCCTTTCTGTGCCAAATCCCTAAGTGCCGTTTGGGGACCACGCGTGCAACATGACTGTCTCCCTGTTTGGGGCAGGAACCCAAGCGCCTGCATCAGCCCCAGCATTCTGTGCACTTGAACTGCCTGGGGTTTGGTAGGCAGAGGATCAGGAATTTCCCAGGTTCCCCAGCTCATGTCCGGGTATGTGGTATACTTTGAGACTGGGGTAGCATGGGATTCCTCTGAGGACCCAGATATTGGTACTAGGGGACAGGCAGAGGAAGCTTGAACTTTGCCTTCCCCAGCCTTCAGCCTGAGTCTAGCATGTCCCCGGCTCCCCAATTGAAGCCTTCAAGGGCTAGCAGAAGGATTAGGAGGTTGGATTCTAGATTCCCTTCTATCCTTCCCCTCTTTGTACTCCTTTTCCCATAACCTCCTTGGCTCTGGCCTGAGTTAAGTTGATGCTTCTCTGTCTGTACCTGTTTAAGCCAGAAGCATTAGCCTAATTTTTGCTTGGAGATCACTTTGTCACAGAGGTGACTGGAGAGGCAGACAGAGGATAGAGGGTCCCTGAGTGATGCTGGGTTTGGGGAATACAAGGGTCTGACTGCTCTCTTGCCCTTCCGCATGGCCCTTCTGACCCCAGCTCCCTGTGGAGATCTGGTTTCTGGCTCGGTACTATCTGCCTGGGGGTTCTTCATGCATCAGCCAATGAGGCATCAAGCCCTTCATTAGTTCAGGCTGACGGAGGGGGGAAAACTATTGGTCCAGACCGAAAATAGCCAAATCCCTGGATAGGAAGGGCCAGCCTGGCACCATGTGGGGAGGAGTAAGTAGAGTGGAAGACCTCGGCCTTGGGTACTGCTTCTTGCCAGGTGAGAGAGGCTTGTCTACACCCTGGCTCCCTGTACCACAGTGCCAGCCATGCCCTTCTCCTGGGCTACCATTGCCCTTTTCTTCACCAGTAGGTGGGGAGTCAGGGGAGGGGAGGCTCATGGGCTTTGGTTTTATAATGTAACCACTGTGGGAGGGGGCAGGGGGTGTGCCATGTATTTCAGTGAAATATTTAATATATTTAAATATCAATAAAATCAATCTCTTTTTAAAACCCCGCTCTCTGCAGCTGTTCTGGGCCCCGGGTTGGGTTGGAAGTGGGCCTTTCTTGTCTGTTGTCAGAGGGCTCCCTCTGGCTGTCTCCTGCCAAAGTGAAGCAGTGGTGTCTTCAGAGAGCATGGCTACTCTAGGCCTTTAAGCCTCATGAGGTCCCCCTGACACACATGAGGTCAAGATACCCCTGGGTGTCTCTCCAGTGCCTGGGCTCCTCCCAAACCTCTCACACCAAGATCTGGCTCCTGTTGGAATCTCTCCCATACCTGCTTTCACAGGAGTAACCTCACTGCACACATCTTCCAGTACACACAACTGACTTCTCATTCAATCTGTTTACTCTGCTTTCTGGATCAAATGACATTTTAGGCAGTCATTGGAACCAGGGTCCCCCCCCGCCTCCTCCACTCTATGCTTCCTTCACAGTCCTTCTCATCCTTCTGCAAACATATCCTGCTTAATACAGTCTGAAGAGGTTGTCATTGAGGATAGAGTGATCCATAAACCTGGAAAGGAGAGAAAAGGTATTCAGCCAGGTAGGCTAAAGTGCAGGGGTCCCTAATATAACCCCCAAGACTGGCAATAAGGCAGGTGGGCAGCGGTGGTGATGAGGAAGTAGGGTTGCCTGCCAATGGTTGGTGGTTGGAAGGTAGGGAAACAGTCACGAAGGGGGCGTAACAAGCTTCAGGTCTCATAGGAATGCTATAGAAACTTGTGGCTGCTCAGTGGTCTTAAACACAGGGGATGCATGAAGACCCAGAATCATCTTCAACTTCTGTTAGTGCCTCTATTGCCCAGATTCTGGTGCCAGCTTTTCCTGATAATTCCCAAAGCTCTGCTTTTATTCCCTAATTCTGAGCAGAGAGTCACCTGGTCATTGGGCTTTTAATGATACAGTGATGGGGGCTCTGGATCCATGGCATGGTTTCCTCTGGGCGCACTCCTGGATCATGGGACCGCCAAAAGCTGAAGTTCTGGGCCTCAGTCAGAGGAACTCTGAAGACCTGATTGGGGACTGGGTGGGTTGGAGAATGGGTAGGTCATCATATTTCTTTGAGTTCTCTGTTCCCTTTACCGCCTCAGAGCAGCACAAACCCAGCCCAGCAGTGGGTCTGACTAGGTGCTGAAAGGCCCTGGGAAAGCTTCACTTCCCATTTCTAGCACCTCACTGTTCATGTTCAGATGAATCAGTGTTGGTTCTAGCTGCTGTTCAGCCCATCTCCAAGACAGCTTGTTGTTGGATAAACATTGGACTGTTAACCTCAAGGTTGACAGTTCAAACCTACCAGCCATTCCTCGGGAACCCTATATAGAGTTGCTATGAGTTGGAACTGACTCAACAACACGTAACAACAAGGTGGTGGAAAAACAAATGGTAAGCCCACTTGAAAAATGAGCAAGATGACGTTCACTGGTTCATTATTTTCCTTATTTAGGGGGCTTATTCATCTTTTCATCTTTCTCCTGTCTCTGAAATAAATGCCTTCCTTTGTGAATTCCAGGTAGTTCTTCAAAACTCAACAATGATACCAGTTCATGTTTGGATACTACTAACGGATAACTATTTATCAAGTGCCTTCCATGCTCTAGATGGTATATTAGATGCTTTTTCTAAATTTGAAATCTCAGATTTACTTGCTATTGTTGTTATGTGCCATGCAGTCGGTCTGACTCATAGAGACCCTGTACAGGGTTTCTGAGGCTGCAAATCTTTATGGGAGCAGAACGCCTCATTTTTCTCTTGCAGAATGGCTGGTAGTTTCGAACTGCTGACCTTGCAGTTTGCAGCCCGATTCGTAACCACTATCTACCAGATTTACTTAGATGCCTTAAAATATTTTCACTATTTAATTGGAGAAATCGAATTATACCAATGTATAAAACTTATACCTATTTTTTTTCACTTGGAATTATAGTGTAGTGTTCTGGTTTGCTATATAGTCATTATGTGGTGTCCTGATGTGGCACTGTAGCATAAGCACTAGACTGCTAACTACAAGGTCGGCAGTTCAAAACCACCAGCTGCTCCACAGGAGAGAGATGAGGCTTTCTGCTCCCGTAAAAATGTATAGCCTTGAAAATGCTATACAGGGTCGCTGTGAGTCAGAATCAACTCGATGGCATTGAGAGTTTGATATAGTCTTTATATTCATTATTTTTTAATCAATATTTTATTGAGTTAGATGTTACATTTTTGACTCAGCTGTTTTCCTATTGATAAGCTTTTAAAAATTGTTATTCAAAATGGGTAACCATCTTTAGACACATCCTTCATAAAACTTTGCTAAAAGCATTTTTTAATTAAACTTTTAATTTCCAGATAATTCTAGATCCACATGCAGATCAAAGAAATAATCCAGAGAGCTCCTGTGTACCCTTTACCCATTTCACCAATTGTAACATCTTGTGAAACTATAGTAGAGAGTCCCAGCCCAGCTACTGACACATGGATACAGAACAGTTCCATCAAAGCCCAGGCCCCTCACCTTCTCCACTCACAGCCACACTTACCTCCTCCACCACCCGGGCCCCACCTTGGCAGTCACCAATCTGTGTTTCATTTCTAGAATGCCATTTTAAGAATGTTATACAAATGGAATTAGACAGCCTGCGACACTTTGGGGATTGGCTGGTTTCATACAGCATAATTCCCTGAATATTCACTCAAATTGATGCTTAGATCTGTAATTTGTCCTAGTTACTTTCCTAAATGTATGTTTTCTCTGACTTTCACAACAATGTTTAAGAGTATTACTCCCATTTCAGACAGTTCAGAAGGTTAAGTGGTTAAAAGGAACTATACCAAGGTTACACAGCTAATTAGGTCAAAGGTGGAGTTTAAATTCATTTCAGTCAACTTTCAAAGCACATGATAGTTTACAAAATATATCCCTAAATTGTTATACTTTTGGTATGACACACTAGTCCTGTGATATTATAGAGTGGGTATTTCCTCCATTTTTATTTATTTTTAGATTTTTTACAAATGAGAGAACTGATAAATAAAATAATATGTGACTTATCAAACCAAATGTGTATGAACTGTTGAGTGGAAACCAATTTGCTCTGTAAACTTTCACTCAAATCACAATTAAAAAAAAGTAAATAAAGTGACTTACCTAAGATGAGATGTCTGAAAGGAGGCTTCCACGTCTGATGAAATTGATTCGTTATTCTCACTCCACCATTCAAGTCTACTTTCTTCCTCTTCCTGGCCTCTCTTCCTGGCTCTGAGTTTTTCTGTGCCCACAACCATGTTCCCTTATATACCAGCCAGTCTTTATGAACTCAGACACATCTGTTGTGCCCCAAGCACGATGTCCACTTCAAGGTACTTACATGTCTTTAGCAACCCCTTCCGTACAGCTTCATGGTATCTTAGGTTGCTGTTCTGGTGCACAGAATAATTTCCATCTGAGGCAAGAAGGGGAAGTCTAGTGGGCTCCGGTTCCTTCTGCTCTGAAATGAAAGCTGACTTACTCTGAATTCTGGACAAATGAGTTATTCTCTAATTCCCTGGTCTCCAAGCCAATCAAGCCCACAGCAGAGATCTCTCCTAGTTACTCACATCCAGTTCTCAGCAGGTAAATGTCTATGACCACAAACCCTCCCTCAAACATCTATGGCTCCTCCCTGGCTTCTGAGTTATGAGGGGTTACCTGCTGGAATCAAAATACTGGACAGATACACAGGGTTGTTGTGGTTGTGTCTTCAAGTTGGTTCCGACTCATAGCGAGCCTGTGTGGGTTAAAAAAAGCCCCTTGTCTCATTGAACCCTCCTTTCCTGGGACCAGCATACTTGCAGAGCCTCAACTGGTCTAATAAGGGAAGTTTCGTGGGAGAAAGATGAGGCTTTCTGCTCCCGTAAAGATTTACAGCCTCGGAAACCCTGTACAGGGTCACTATGAGTCGGAACCGACTCCACGGCA